TCATTAACCTCCCTGCTCCTTCACTGGTACAAATTCCTCCCTTTGTCTTATGTGTACTAGCTTGGACAACGATTTGTGTTATAACATGGCCCTACCCCAGGGCAATTCAAGCATTTTCTTCCAATCAAATCCCTCCCCCGAAATGGAATTCTTGTGAATTAAAGCTGTCTCATCACCTCACATAATTAACTGGGCAATGAATATATTTGATCTTGTAGTGGAATAATATTTGATACTTAACTACGTGGTTTTTTTTTTTTAAATCAATGTATTTATTTATTTTTGGCTGCGTTGGGTCTTCATTGCTGAGCATGGGCTTTCTCTAGTTGCAGCTATTGGGGTTTCTAGGCACTTGCGCTGCAGTAGTTGTGGTGTGCAGGCTTCAGTAGTTGTGGCACACGGGCTTAGTTGCTCCGTAGCATGTGGGATCTTCCTGGACCAGGGCTCGAACCCGTGTCCCCTGTACCGGCAGGTGGATTCTTAACCGCTGCGCCACCAGGGAAGTCCCACTATGTGGGTTTTTAAAAACTTCCTTTTACTTGTCTTTTTTCCCCACCATTCAAGGAGTATTAGGATTTATAAAGATGCAGATACAGAGACGATACAGAGAGAACAATTAAATCCTAAACAGATAAGCTCTTGAAAATAATTTTGTAAAGTCTGTAGCAGACAAAAAGTTCTTAAAAGCCATGTTTTCAATTACAAGAGCTGTAATTGAGAGGGAAATATAGTTTTTTTAATTTCCAAAGTCTGGCTTTAAATATCCAGAGCCGATTCCTGGAGGACCAAGAACATAATATTTACACCATAACCACAGAGAGGAGTATGTGATGTCAGAAGAGCCCAGAGCATATAAGAGCTTGACCAGCAGGCAAGAAAGTGAGGACTGTAGAGGGTGTGCTGAGGGCTCATTTGTGGGGCTTAGGGCTGCTACGCCCTCCTCCAAGGTCAAGTCTTTGCAGAAAAACAAAATAAGCTTAGGTAGGTTTGAGGCATTCCAGAGCAAATAGAACCATTGCCTGGCTTCACAGACAACCTAAGTGACTGTAAACCTCAGATAGCAGCCTGAGGTTTCCTGAGCAGAAAGATGAGCAGTGATCAGGGCTGCGGCATCAGGGCCCGAGGGGTTCTCCCAGAGTCTCCTATGCCCGCTGGGCACGGTGCAGGTGCAGGAGCTGGAATCACCAGGCTCCCTGAGAGGGCGTGGGACAAGCAGTGTGCACCAGGTGCGTCTTTGTGATTAGGACGACGAAGACGCAGAATTTAGATGTAATAACAGGGGGCCATGGCAGGACTCAGCAGGAAGAGAAAGCAATGCTCAAAGCCCGAAGGATGAGTTACAGATGTCAGCATGGACAGAGATACCATGGTTCAAACTCACATGCCCACCCCTGATGCCACAATTTCACAAGCATCTCCCAAACTCAGAGGCCAGCGAGGAACAAAAGAACTAGAACAGTAGGGTTGGAGGGGTAATTTGAGTTACTCATAAGAAACTGAGTTTTAAACTGAGAGTAAATTAAGTTATCAGGATACAAGTGAAAGTAGAAGCTAAGCTGGGTTCAATTATAGAGAAATCATTAAATTTTTAATATAAGCCATCTTGTGATAATGCACAGTTTGCATTCCCAAATTATTTGGGAAAGTTACCTGGCAGTAGCCACTAAAACTAAAAATGCACAGACCCTTTTACCCAACAATCCCAGTTTTAAGAATCTATCCTTTAAAAGCAAAAGAGCCAGGATACAAAGATATGTGTATAAAGATTTTTATTTTGACAACATTTGTAGTGCCAAAACACTGGAAATAGCTTGGATATCTATCAGTAGAGGATGGGGTGAATAAAGAACCGTATATCCATTGTCTGAAATATTATATTGAAATATTGAAATATATGCTGAAATATTAATATGTTGACATATGTTATTAAATGAAAAAAGTTACAGTGTGAGTGTATATATTATCTCATCTTTTGTTAAAAAAAGAGAGAGAAAGGTCCTTATATATGTTATTATAAGAATGTAAAAATACATCAGACTGTTACCATTAGCTCTCTTTTTTTTTTTTTTTTTTTTTTTTGCGGTACGCGGGCCTCTCACTGTTGGGGCCCCTCCCGTTGCAGAGCACAGGCTCCAGACGCGCAGGCTCAGCGGCCATGGCTCACGGGCCCAGCCGCTCCGAGGCATGTGGGATCTTCCCAGACCGGGGCACGAACCCACATCCCCTGCATCAGCAGGCAGACTCTCAACCACTGCGCCACCAGGGAAGCCCACCATTAGCTCTTTAATGGGTGGTATTGGAGGGAGGAAAGAGCACTCATCTTTTATATACTTCAGTATTGTTTGACTTGAGACAAAAAGCATGTTCTAATTTTGTAATATATTTCAAGCAATAAAATTAAAATGTGAAAAGGACATATATGAGGAGGGAAAAAATATCCCTCAGTTTAGCAATGTTTCAAATGATCCTCTCAAAAACTTCTATTAAAAAATGAATATGATTTTGAAAGATTAGATTTTCACTTCTCTCTTGCCTGGAGCCGGAGAGAAGTCTTCCTGTCTTCTCTTAACTCTGCAATAAACTAAGTGAAATGACGGGGGTCGGGAGGGTGTCTGATAATAAATCATTCACATTGTGGAATATACTGAAAATTAAGGTTTGATCTTGACCGCTTCTGAGTCCTAATTTTTAAGGACTGTTTTTTGGGGGGAGTTGATTCTCGCTTTGCCTGCTAACTCCCCCTCACCTGTGAGATTCTCTCCTCCTCCACTCTATCTGGGCCCCATGCTCTTCCCGGTTCCCATGCTACCCATCTTCCATCCCCAGCCCTCCTTGCCTCTGACCAAACTTCTTTTTTTTTTTTTTTTATTGGAGTATAGTTGATTTACAATGTTGTGTTAGTTTCAGGTGTACAGAAAAACGAATCAGTTATACATATATCCACTCTCATTTAGATTCTTTTCCCATATAGGTCATTACAGAGTATTAAGTAGAGTTTCCTGTGCTATACAGTAGGTCCTTATTAGCTATCTGTTTTATATATTGTAGTGTGTATATGTCAGTCCCAGTCTCCCAGTTTATCCCTCCCCCACCATCCCCTGGTAACGATAAGATTGTTTTCTACATCTGTAACTCTACTTCTGTTTTGTAGATAAGTTCATTCGTGCCCTTTTTTTAGATTCCACATATAACCAATATCATATGGTATTTGTCTTTCTCTGTCTAACTTAGTTCACTCAGTATGACAGTCTCTAGGTCCGTCCATGTTGCTGCAAATATCATTATTTTGTTCTTTCTTATGGCTGAGTAATATTCCATTGTATATATGTGCCACGTCTTCTTTATCCATTCCTCTGTTGATAGACATTTCGGTTACTTCCATGTCCTGGCTATTGTAAATAGTCCTGCAATGAACATCGGAGTGCATGTATCTTTTCGAATTATGGTTTTATCCAGATATATGCCCAGTAGTGGGATTGCTGGGTGGTATGGTAGTTCTATTTTTAGTTTTCTAAGGAACCTCTATACTGTTCCCCATAGTGGCTGTATCAATTCACATTCCCACCAACAGTGCAAGAGGGTTCCCTTTTCTCCACACCCTCTCCAGCATTTATTGTTTGTAGATTTTTTGATGATGGCCATTCTGACCGGTGTGAGGTGATACCTCATTGTAGTTTTGATTTGCATTTCTCTATTAATTAGCGATGTTTTCCTACCTTCTTATTGCCACCCCCCTCCAGGCTCCCTCATCCCCCTCACTTGTGGGACACCTTGGACATCGTAACTTGGTCGTGAGAAGCACAAATCTATTGAATGAGCACCAGCGGGGACACCTGGAATCCATGCCGAGCACCACACAAACATTTTTCATGAAAATCCCTCCATCCTCAGAAATGGGATGAAGTAAGGGTCAGGGTTGGCTGGGCTGCATCCAACAACAATTCAGCTAGGAGGGTTCCAGGCTGTGTTGAAGGCAGTCCATAACTGCCAGTAATTTTAGCAAAGGAGGGAAAGGAAAGGAGAACATGAATTATAGCCTGAGAAAGGATCAGAATTGGGAGAAGAAGTGACAGAATGGTCTGTCAAGCTAAAAGAAGGAAGGAAAAGAACCAGGAAGCAGAGTATCAGAAAAGAGATTTGGTGATTAATTTGTTCAGCACTGTGTCTGCCTCTCGCCGTCTTTCTCGTGGTGCAGGTCACTGAGCTCAGGAAATGTTCTTCAGTTTCAGAGTCATGAAGAATAAACTCGGGTTCCTAAATTGGAGCTTTGGGGGGCTGGGGGTCCACCAGATAGAAAAACATTTTTCACTTCATGATTTAATTTAGGATTAAAGACATAAAGTAAGCAGTGCACTTCTCAGAAAAGCATATTTTATATTCCAACAGTCATTTTTACCTACTAAACCCAGAATAATTTTCGATGTGACGACAAGTAATGGAAGAAGGGGGTCTCCATGATTCTGTGCCTAACCGAGTAGTCTACTAACCAAGTAGGTAAATGTTTTCTGGGTGAAATATTAGCAATTCGTGGGAAGCCCTTGACTTGAAGCAGGACCAAATGAGACAGGAGGCCTTGCAGTCAGTGGTGGAGTCAGTATTACTACTGGGCTCCTTTTTTTTTTTTTTTTTCCTTGTTCAAATTTTTTTTTTAATTAAAAATATTTTTTTTATTTTTTAACATCTTTATTGGAGTATAATTGCTTTACAATGCTGTGTTAGTCTCTGCTTTATAACAAAGTGAATCAGTTATACATACATCCCCGTATCTCCTCCCTCTTGCGTCTCCCTCCCTCCCACCCTCCCTATCCCACCCCTCCAGGTGGTCACAAAGCACTGAGCTGATCTCCCTGTGCTATGCGGCTGCTTCCCACTAGCTATCTATTTTACGTTTGGTAGTGTATATATGTCCATGCCCCTCTCTCACTTTGTCACAGCTTACCCTTCCCCCTCCCCATATCCTCAAGTCCATTCTCTAGTAGGTCTGTGTCTTTATTCCCGTCTTGCCCCTGTACTGGGCTCCTTTTTCATGATGAAACCGTCCCTGAAAGTGTTCAACTCCCTTCAAGGACTGATGATGCAAAGCCAATGACCTCTTTAACGCTTCATCCTTGCACCCTGACTTCTGCTCAGCAGTCTGAAGCAGCCCAGAGGACCTGAACCAGACGACTCGTTGAGGAAGTAAGTAAACTATCCCTACCCACGACACGGCCCCCCTATACAGAAGTGAGAGTAACTTCAAAATTGGGTGGAAGGGCTTGCTGCAAAGGCCTTTGGCCTCTTCCTGCCCATGTTAAGCAACTCAGGCACACACTACTAGTGTCCTGGCAAGAAACTCTCTCACAAGAGCTGGAAGAAGACCAAAGAAGGCCAGAGCCTCCAAACAGAAGCTCGGTAGCAAAAGTGTTGGAGGGAGAGAAATGAGGCAATTACCCTGGGCTTACGGGCAGGTGACTCAGCACGCCTGCAAGAGAGGAGCTGTTGATTCTGGAGGAGCTGGGGTTCGTGCTACTATGGGGCTGGTGGAGAGGAAGAGGGAGGTTTACTCCTCAAGAAAAAGGGCATGGTCCGGAGTGCAAAAAAGGAAATGGCTTTCTCTGCCAAGGGATTTCTGGTTTCTCCATCCTTGCCTAGGGTTAAACCCTGTGAAAAAGAAAATACCCAGCAGGTGGCAGCACCAGATAACTGCAGTAAAACAAGGCTGTAAGGCAAAGCCTTCCTCTGGCGTATGCTGCCCTGTGCCTTCCTCGGTGGGATTTCATTTAGCCATCCGTGAATAGCTCCCTACAAAGAAGAGAACATTGAGTTCATTTCTGTGTTTCCAGAACCTAGCACCGCGCCTGGCACATTCTGCGTGTATCTGTTGATTGAGTGGATCAAGTAATCAATTATTTCTTTTTCAATAAATAAAATTTTAAAATTCCCCTAAACTAGAAAAACGTCGTCATTTGAAGTGGCCCTATTCCTTTCTTCTTATCCCATCACTACTACTGTCATGTTAATTACAAATTTAATTAGTTTTAGCAATAATAAGAATAAAGCCCCATACTAGATTAATTCTCTACTCACCCTTGGGCCAACCTACATCCTTATTCCCTACTTAATTAAATTTTCCCTGTCTCCAAGAGGGAGGAGAGATGGGGGTATATGTATGTGTATACCTGATTCACTTTATTATAAAGCAGAAACTAACACACCATTGTAAAGCAATTATACTCCAATAAAGATGTTAAAAAATTTTTTTCCTGTCTCTTTCAGAGACTTTAAAAAAATCATGGGGTTTTAAAAAAAAACCCTGAGATTTATGAGGAAGGCAATAAACAATCATTCGTTGATTAGTTGTAGTTTTTATAAGCTATTTTTGTTGTTTTGTTTTGTTTTTGTATTTATTTTTGGCTGTGTTGGGTCTTTGTTGCTGTGCACGGGCTTTCTCTAGTTGCAACAAACGGAGGCTACTCTTCATTGTGGCGTGCGGGCTTCTCATTGCCGTGGCTTCTATTGTTGCGGAGCACGGGCTCTAGGCACACGGGCTTCAGTTGTTGTGGCACACGGGCTCAGTAGTTGTGGCGTGCAGGCTCTAGAGTGCAGGCTCAGTAGTTGTGGCGCACGGGCTTAGTTGCTCCACGGCATGTGGGATCTTCCCGGACCAGGGCTTGAACCCGTGTCCCCTGCATTGGCAGGCAGGTTCTTAACCACTATGCCACCAGGGAAGTCCAGTTGAATTTTTTTTTTAACCAGCGACTTGTTTGTCAACTATACTTCCTTTAAGTTTTACTCTTAAAAAAACTTCTGGGGACTTCCCTGGGTGGTCCAGGGACAAGCCACACTGAATGATACTTGAATCAGAGCCATGTTCTCAGCTGAAGAAAAAAATACTAGAGCAGATCATGGGAGCCATCATTCAGCTGACTCATAAGAATGGGCCCAGAACCAAAAAATTTAGATAGCGTCATCTGGAAACAATGGCACCCTTGATTATCTCTCCCATCTTAGGAACTCCTATCCTCACCCTGTTCAACTTTGTTATACCCAGTCATTTTGCTATTGCTTTTACACCTTTGTTGTATTTTAAATGCAACTTTCCTGAACTCAAAGAGCCCATTTGAGTCCTTTCTATCCATAGGGTGAAGTTCTAAGTTATCATTACTCTCCCTAACTCTAGAGGAATATTGTATCCTAAAAACAATTATCTTAAGTAGTGATGGTTCCCAGTGTCAAGCTAATTCCTGTTCTCTTCCCATGCTGCATGCTTTCCCTAGGCAATCTCATCCCCACCCATCATTTCTATACTGGTAACTCCTGATCTTTACCTGTAATTTAGGTTTGTCTCCTGAATTCCAAGTTCATACATACAGCTGATGGCCTACTATAAATCTCTACCTAGACATACACATCATATCAAAGATCAAATTCAGGAGATTCTGGTTTAAGATGGTAGATTGAGCATATCCATTTATCTTTTTTTTTTCCCAAAAACTACATTAAAATCATAGTAAAGAAATAAAAAAGATGTGGACACCCCTGACCCCATCCAACAAAGAGAATGGGAGAGAAGCAGAGGAGTAGAGATTCCAACAAAGTTCTGGAAGTCAGGAGATGGATGAAGAGGGGTAAGTGATGCTCAAAGAAGAGTGAGCTGCAGCCTAGGACACCTGAGAACGGGACCACAGCCAATGAAGTAGTCAGTCTGCCTGGAATAAACCCAGAAACACCCTCAACTTGCAGACTCCAAACTCTACAGAAGGCAAGAGAAGGAGAAACGAGCAGAAAACAAACAAAAGTACTTCAGTAAATTCAGAAATATTAGGAATGATATTGCATCCATAAAACAAAGGCAGGATAAAAGATATGAGTGTCAGAACTTGACGTTTCTCCACCAACCTCCCACCTCAGTGAACGCCATCATTATCCACCCAATTTCCCAAAGCCAGAAAGTTGAAAGTGATCCTTTATTCTTCTCTTCTCCTTATGCCTCATTCCATAAACTGAGGGTTGATCCTAATTGCCTAAATATCTCTCTTTCCCCACAACCATCGTCTTTAATAGACTTTTATTGTGTCTTCCCTGGATTCTCTCAGTAGCTTTATTACTGGTCTTTCTAACTCTGGTTTGAAGCCTTCTCAAATAAGTCCTTAGAATCTTGCAATCCCTAATCAGCCAGCGTCTAGCATACACTGCCCTTCCACCACTGAGGCTCGATAATTATCTTGAGTAATATCTGACCACCTGTCCAGCCCCAGATTTTCACCACTTCATGCCCTGTTCGCTATATCCCATTCATATCAACTTTTAGTTCTTCCTCAAGACGTGTCTCCTTTTCTTTTTTTAATTGATTTTTTATTGGAGTAGAGTTGCCTTACAATGTTGCGTTAGTTTCTGCTGTACAGCAAAGTGAATCAGCTATATGTATACATATATCCCCTCTCTTTTGGATCTCCTTCCCTTTAGGTCACCACAGAGCACTGAGTAGAGTTCCCTGTGCTGTACAGTAGGTTCTCATTAGTTATCTATTTTATACATAGTAGTGTATATATGTCAATCCCAGTCTCCCAGTTCATCCCACCCTTCCTCCCCCCTCACCCTCCCACTGGTATCCGTAAAGACATGTCTCCTTTTTAAAACATGTTCAGTTCTCCCCGCCTGGAACCCCTGTTCTCTTTGCTGGCATGGGAACTCCCTTCAGGCTCAGCTCAAGTGTTAACTTCCCCTAAGGAAGTTCCCTAACTCCCCTGGACTGATGTGGGGCTCCTGGTCCTTCTGTGTCCTCTGTGTGTACCATCTGCCTCCACTACAGCATTTTTATGTTAACTTGTAATTGTATGTTTCCTGTTTCCCCAGACCAGACAGTAGGCACTTTGGAGGCAGCAACCTATCCTTTTAGCTTTGTATTCCTTGCACATGTGTCCCACGAATGAATGATCATAATCACAGAAGACGGAAACTCAAGAAATCTTCCATATAGCCCCTGCCCTTGGGGTCAATGAGGTATTATAATTTTCATTTTATTAGAGATTGAGTGACTGATTTAAGGTTGCAAACCTGGAGCATAGGGGTTTGTATGTGTGATGGAGTAGAGGTGGGGAGAGGAGAGAGTGGTAGTCATAACTAAAATCCTGGTTTCCTACTTTTTTTAAAAAAATTTTATTGAAGTATAGTTGATTTACAGTGTTGTGTTTGATTTCTGCTATACAGCAAAGTGACTCAGTTATACACATATACATTCTTGTTCATGTTCTTTTCCACGATGGTTTATCACAGGATATTGAATATAGTCCCCTGTGCCATACAGTAGGACCTTGTTGTTTATCCATCCTCTATATAATAGTTTGCATCTGCTAATCCCAAACTCCCAATCCTTCCCTCCCCCAACACCTTGGTAACCACAAGTCTGTTCTATATATCTGTGAGTCTGTTTTTGTTTCGTAGATATGTTCATTTGTGTCGTATTTTAGATTCCACATATGTGATATCATATGGTATTTGTCTTTCTCTTTCTGACTTACTTTGCTTAATATGACAATCTCTAGGTCCATCCATGTTGCTGAAAACGGCCTTATTTCATTCATTTTATTGCATTGCATATATGTACCACATCTTCTTTATTCTTCATCTGTTGGTGGGCGTTCAGGTTGTCTTACCTTCTTATACAGTGATTCTTCCACCATGTTATGACACCTCTTACTAATCTGTTATCATTTACTAAAGAAACTCAACTGGAAAAAAAATATAAACAAAAAAAAACATTGCCCAAACTAAAGAGATTATTTTCTTTAAAATAATGATAATTATTATATGATATTTTTAAGCCTAGCCTTGTTTGATCCAGGAAGGTAATCACCCTTTGAAATCACACACTTATTCATTAGGCACTATGTCCCATATACAATTTTCTATTACAACCAACTAGCAAGCAATGCTCCCACAGGTTCTCACGTTCAGTCCTTCCCCTAATTCTCTTATTGCAACGTCTGGCACATATGCCAAAGGTGGCAGGTGGGCCAGATATTGTCGGCATGCTGGCCAGCCAAAGCCATTCTGGTCCCCACCTGAGCACACGCTCAAAAGCCCGCCACTACCTTACCCCGTTCTTGAGAGTTTGCAAGTTTTCTTCGCTTCAGGGAAAGATATGTCTTCTACTCTTTTCTGTCTCCCTTGGTGCCCTATCAAAGTGCAACGATCCTAATACCTACTCCAGAGAGAATTGTTGATTTGATGAAGAAGATAAAGAGGAATCTGCACACTCTTAGTGAGTTTTGGACACTTTCTTACACATTTCCCTCTCTTGGATATAGTTGTTTGGTAGCTCCTTCTCAGTCTACATTGTTTTATCCTTTTAGGCCTCCATTCAAATGATGGAAATTTCCTAGATTCTGTCCTCCACCCTCCTCTCTGGGTACTTCCTCCCTGAGCAATCTTCTCCATTAATTTCGTCATGATGTATATGCTAATGACTCCCAAATCTATAGCTTTTAAACCTACTTCTCCTAAGAACTGAAGACCCCAATTACTTAGGGACTCCCATGCAATGCCACACAGATGGCCTGATACGCCTTCAAAAGTAAGATGTCTAAAATAAAATTCATCACTTTACCCAAACCCATTTCTCCATCTCTTAAAGGCGTCACCATCCTCCCAAACATAGTGGCCCAGAACCCCAGTCACAACTGATATTCTTCTGTCCTCTTTACTGTGCCCCCGTTGGGAAGGCTGAGATGGCACCACAGCTCACAAAGGGTTCCCCCATGGCCATGCCTGTGATACCTTCCCTTACCCCCAACCATGATTTTCTAGTGGGATGTGCCAAAAACAGGACCTCGTATGTCAGATCCAGTGACTGGCCCAAGAGATGGATGTGTGACCGAGTTCATCCATCAGTGTCCATCTCCGGAAAAGTTCAAAGTGGCCCAGAGAGAGATCCCGTTCTTCTTCAGTCCCATAGCTAGAAGAACCAGGTACGGTGGTGATCCTCAAGCATGGAAGTGCTTCTCACAGTAGAAGAGAATAAAGGCTGTCTTCAAAGAGAGGATACGGATGAAGAATGACAGCCGAGACCTTGACTCAGTTGTCCCTACCTGGCTCTATGGCTGTCCTTCCTAAAGATAGGTTAGTAATCAAATATTGAATTTTACAAATAAATTCCCCTTTTTTACTTTTTAGGTGAATCAAGTTGGGTTTTTGTCATTTACAAAATCCCAACTTAAATCTTTGCTTTTCACTCCGTGCTCCTCCTTCTCCTGAACACATAGGAAAGCATTTAACCAGTTGCCAAATCATGTGGTTTCCACCTCAATTTTTTTAAAAATTTTATTTATTTATTTATTATTTTTGGCCGTGTTGGGTCTTTGTTTCTGTGTGAGGTCTTTCTCTAGTTGTGGTGAGTGGGGCCACTCTTCATCGCGGTGCGCAGGCCTCTCACTGTCGCGGTCTCTCTTGTTGCGGAGCTCCAGACGCGCGGGCTCAGTAGTTGTGGCTCACGGGTCCAGTTGCTCCGCGGCATGTGGGATCTTCCCAGACCAGGGCTCGAACCAATGTCCCCTGCATTGGCAGGCAGATTCTCAACCACTGAGCCACCAGGGAAGCCCCGGGTTCTACCTCTTAACCATCCTTGATGTGTATCCCGTTTCCTTCACCTAACTCAGGTCCTAGGTTACATAATGGTTTCCTTACTATACTCCCAGACTCCAGTCTAAACATCCTCCAATTGCTGTCAGAGAACTGTCTAGAAAAAAGTTCTTCTCTTCCATAACCTTCAGTGGCTCCCTAGGACTCACAGAATAAAAACGAAACTGCTCAAACAGCCTCAAACACCCTATAATTTGTCACTTGCTTTCTTTTCTGCTTCATCTCTCCTAACATCCTTGAACCAAACGTGACCACTCACCTACCGCTAAATGTTTTCTGAACTTTCCTGCCTCTTTTCTTGTCATTTTCTCTCCACTTATCACAGATACAAATCCTACCCATTCTTCAAATGTCACCTTCTTCATAAAACCTAAAACCTCTCACACAGCAGAAAACTACCTTTTCTTGGCTTCCACGGCGCTTTATACTTCTACCAAAGCACGTTTGCTTTGTGCTATAGTATTTTCATACATATTCTTTTCCTTTTTAGGCTATAAAGTTCTTTGAGGACAGGAATTCTTCTGTGTTAACCATTAGTACTAAAGGGTTCCAAAAGGTGCCATTCCCAAATGTGCCTCTTTGGCATATGGATTATTTTGAGCTAAAGGCAATGGAAAATCAGCAGATACAGGAAAAGCCCTTTACTTCCTCCAACTGCCCAGAAATAGAGTACAATTTTCCCCTTTGGTAACAGAAATTTACCTTTTTAAAGGAAATTTCCATTTGTAAAAGTGTCTTATACCAGGAAGAGAGTTACTCCCAGAGACAGCTCACCACCTGAGAGACTCTGATCTGCTCAACATGATAACCTGTGTTTACCAGGCATGTCCTCCCCTCCCCTTTCTACAACTTGCCTCCTCCATCCAGAAGCTCCAAACCCCTTTTCCTTTGTTTAGCCTAAGATGGTATATAAGCCTCAATCATCTGGCCACTTCCTTGAGCTTTCATTTCTGTGGAAACTCTTGTGCATACATACGTAATGAAATCTGGTTTTTGTGTTTCTCTTGTTAATCTATTTCTTATCAATTTGATTGGAGGAGTGGGTAGCCAGCAAACCTAGGAGGGTAGAGAAAAAAAGGTTTTCCTCCCTTGCATTACTCAACATAGTATTTTGTGTTATGTACAAACACCTGTGATGCTCTAGATACGACATGTAGATGTGGCCAGAGGGATTGTTTCTCCTCTAATTATTTAAAATTTTAATTCAGTGTTGTAATTAATGCTTCCTGTGGCATCTGTGAGACAATTACTATGAAAGTCTATATAATTACACCATTTTCTATTCTACCATTCTCATGGATGTTCTCTGCAAAAGAAGACCCAATTTAAAATAAATTTCAGGACTTCCCTGGTGGTACAGTGGATAAGAATCCACCTGCCAGTGCAGGGGACACGGGTTCAATCCCTGGTCCAGGAAGATCCCACATGCCATGGAGCAATTAAGCCTGTGCGCCACAACTACTGAGCCCTCATGCTGCAACTACTGAAGCCCGCATGCCTAGAGCCCGTGCTCTGCAACAAGAGAAGCCACTGCAATGAGAAGCCCACGCACCATGATGAAGAGTAGCCCCCGCTCACCGCAACTAGAGAAAGCCTGCGCGCAGCAACAAAGACCCAATGCGACCAAAAATAAAAATTAAATTAAATCTTTAAATAAATAAATAAATAAATTCCATAAGGAAACTGAATGTCTGAGTCTATCCTATTATGAAAAAGCAAAATTCATCTTCCTGTCTCCTTCCTCCCTCCCTCCCTCCTTCCTTCCTTCCTTCCTTCCTTTCTTTATTTCTTTCTTTCTTTTCTTCTTCTTTCTTTCTAAGAGACAATCAAAATGCAAGCTATGGCTTGGGTGTAATTATAGGTGCCAAACCAAAGTCAGCTTTTATTTACAACTCCTTCACCAAGTCAGCACTCCATCTCCCCCTCTGATGTACGCAGACTGCACCCAAACCAGTCTGAGTCGTGTTATTTGTATGCCATTAAAATGGGGCATCTGATAGCATCTGCTCCCTTTCTCTGGTTCAAATCATGAATGGGGCTCCTCTCCCTTTCCTAAGTCACCAGGTTTTGAATATTTACAATCTGTGATAGTACAAAGAAATGGATTTTGAACTCTAAACAGTCCATAGTTGAAGTAGTGAAGCCACAAGGGAAGAAAAACCAGAGTGGACCCATAATAATAATGAATTTTCTGTAAGTGGGAATGAGCTATGAAAGGTGTCAGGGAAGAAGAATGGTGATGAATGACTAAAGGCAAAGGAAGTTTACAAAGAAAGCGAAACATGCTTATGGATGAACAGGAAGGGAAGAGGACCGTGCCGTTCACTTATTAGGTACTCAACAGCCATTTATAGCAGGATCTGCACGGGGCTTAAAAAGAGGGCTTGCTTTCTTCACGTTGAGAAGAAATAAGAAAATTATTCTTTTGAAAAGGCCATGGTAATTTTAAAACTATGGAGTGACATTTTTAAATGGTTTGACCGGAACTTGGCTAAGCCCCTACCTGCATGCAATTCTGTATAATCTAAGTTTTACAGAGTCTTTCTTTCTGGGTGTTTAGAGCCTGAATCTTGACCTACGTTTTTGCAGATGAGCTGTATTGAGAACATTGGTTTTCAGAATCCCTAATCCTGGTTTTTCAACCAGGCAGAGCCAATCAGCCATGCCTAGTTTTGCTGGGTTAGCACAGTTAGTAAAAACCGAAGCAAACCTGATTAGCTCGACTGGGAGTCCTGAGCCTGGTTTGCTGAGGAGAGTAGGCAGATGTTGCTGATACAGAGTCGAAGACCCAACACAGAATCCAACACAGGATCAAAGAACTGAGACACTGGAGTGAAAATTGCATCTGATTTGTGGTCAAGATAACAGGAGTCCGAATCTCCATTCTCTAGTGTGGACTTTGAGCAAATCACTCAGTCTCTCTATGATTCAGTTTCCTGTGACCTTGAACAAAACACCCTTTCTCAGGGTCGGCTTCCTGTGAAAAATCAGAATATAAAGTTGTTGTGAGGATTAAATGAGATCAAGTATGTGAAAGTATTTTACGGTCTGCAAAGTGCTATATAAATGTAAGGTATCATGAATTTTAGGCTATGGTCTTGAAAACATGATTAAGCAATGGTTTCTATTAGTTTCTGAAAGCAGGTGAGTCATGTACAGCATATGTGTGGATAGGATGAGCCATTCACTAACTCAACACTAATTCAAATGTTTATTCATGGCATACTAGGTGCCAAGAGTGTTTTAAGTGCTGGAGATACACTGTGAAAAGAACAGGTAAAAACTCCTGTCCTCACAAGCAGGATAGATGATAAGCAAACTAGTGAAAACAAAGGAGGGCTGCAAAAATTCCCTTGTGTAAAATTTGGGATCCCATTATTGTGACATTAATGTAGAATAATACTTTTCAGTTGATAATATAAAGATAATGAAACAAACTGTATACACAGTTGATAGACAATGAACTGAGAAAAACCCCAATTATAAGGAGGAGAGCCCTTCCAAACTCCTCCCACCTCCACTCTGCCCCTGCACACAAGAACTTTAGCTGGTTAAGAACTGAGAACAGAGTCTGGGAGCCAAGTGCTTTATAGCTGGGGTTAATATACATAGTATGATAGGGTGTGTCTTAGAGAAAAGTAACACAGGGAAGGGAAATAGCGAGGGCCATGGTTGGTGGGGAGAGAGGATGGTCGGGAAGACTCACTGAGAAGGTAGCATCTGAGCAAAGGCCTGCAGTGGGGGAGGGAGCCATCCATGTGGAGATCTGGGGGAATCATATGCTCATCAGATGGAACAATGAATGGAAGATCCTGAGTTGGGAGCAGGCCTGGTATGCTTGAGAGATAGCAAGGTGGTCAGTGAGGTCGTAGTGGAGTGAATGGGGGGAGGGGAAGAGTGAGTAAAAGGGCGGATCAGAGGGAAGTGGGCCACATATTGGGGGCTGTGAAAGACACTGGATTTTACTTTGTGTGGAACGATAAGCCACTGAAAGATGCTGAGCAGAAGAGTAACATGATCTGCATGTTCTAACAGGATCACCCAGGCCACTGTATTGAGAATAGATTACAGGGAAACAAAGGCAGGAGCAGAGGGACCAGTGGAAAACGACTGAAATAATCAAGAGGAGAGATACAGTGACTTGGATCAGGGGGGAACCAGTGTTGGTCAGAAGTGGCTGAACTTGGAATACGTTTTGAGTGTAAGGCCAACAGGATTTGCTGACAAATTGGAAGTGTTGTAAGAGGAAGACAAGCGTACAGAAAGGCTCTAAAGGTTTTAAAGGTTTCAGCCAGGACAGCTGGAAGGGCCAACTGACTTTTACTGCGACGAGGGTGAGTAGGGGTGAGTGGTGTTGGTTTGAGAAGTCAAGGATCATTTTTCTGCTTCTCTTCTGATTCTGTTAAGTGAGGGAGTTAGGATTTAACAAGTAAAGATGGAGAAAGAAAACAGCCAATTAAAATGAAAATGGCATTCCAAGAGTAAATTGAAGCTATAAGTGCAAAAATAGGAGGGTAGGTGATGGGCCCACCTAGCAAGCTTGCTAGAAGGGGACAAAGGGGATGAATGGTGAGGAGTTGGGAGGAGTCAAGGAGTTGCAGCAGCACAAGACGAAGACTTGCGTTTTGCTGTTGTAAGTTTCCATCACTGGGGCC